GACAGAGTGCAGCCTAAGAGACGCCCATGAATCTAAGCGCCTGTAGATTAAGCTTGTTTAACAACCGTAGGATCTACAACAATGGTAGGGAATTTATGGAATCGCGCGGTGAGTTGAGCTAGAATTGGGAAGGCTCGAGGAATTATCAGCCAGTCTCGGCACAACGTTCAATTCCCAACACGACCACACCATAACTCCACGCTGAACTGGTGAGGCATGACTGGAAGGTGCTCCCAAAGCCGCCCAAAGCCCTTCTCCACCTTTCTCGTTACTTCATTTTCAGTGCTAGCTTTAAATCGTCAGCATCAAAGTGAGAAGTCGTTGCCACAAGGTTTATTCGGTTAATTCGGAACTCTTAAGCTACGCTGAGAGACTGATATTAGTCTCTTGCCATTTATGAAATTGCGAATAGACACTATTTTCAGCAAGAGCGCACATTCCTAATGTTTTCGCGATGATTTGGTGTACTTTTACTTGTCACCTTCATATTTTCTGTTCCGTTGAAAGTGGCACTAGTTTATTACTCTCAGCCACGGAATCTGTGGATTAATGTGATCGAGTTGTTGCTCACCAATGGACCCGGGTTAAATGTGACAACTTTTTCCATTCCTATAAGGCCTTAGCTCACCTGCATTTCATGGAAACTGTGAATTGGGCTTCACGAGCTCTACTTCAAACGTCTACTGTTGCGGGAAGCTTTGTTGGGGATTCTTAAGGCATCTTATCTCAGTTCTGATTCTTTCAGGAATTGTTATCCAATTTTTGGGAGCTTTCGGTTCAGAGCAAGATCGTTTATCGGTATGACGTCGCTGTTTATTTGGGGAACCGCGCAAACAGTAGAGCTGTGAATTACTTGCGTGGGCCCCGAGACGAGTACGTTCTAATTTCTACTTCTTACTTGATTGTGACAGCCCGCTGTCTTTTCTGAACAGTTCGACATTATCGAACACACTTTCTTACAGTTACGCGCAAGTAACAAGGCGTAGAGTGTGTCTGTGCGCTCTACAGTTAATACTGGCGCGTTATCACATTGCTAGTGAAGGCTCTGCCGTCATCTATGATGGGAGTGCTATCATGTTTTCATCTGAGGATCTTGCTCCTGCTCTAAAAGAGGTATGGTTGATAATTTGAATAGCGACAGAGACATTTTAAACTCACATTTTTTTCAGCATCATGGAATATTAACAATCAACACAGGTGATCTTCCAGTGCAACTGAGTAAGCAAATTAGATTTTACTGCCCATCTGGCGATACTCTAACCATTGAAATATGTCGATGTCGAGATGACGCAACTTCATTCGACATAGCCGATCTCTCAGCACAAGTGAGGGTATATAAAGTTGTAAAGGGGCTCGAGCTTTTTGATGGTCAGTTCATTTTTTCCATGTGAGCGGAGGGTTGGGCAGCAGAGAATTGGGTAGGAGGAAGGGGTGATGATCGACATTTTCTGAAAGGGAATGATCGGCTCGTAACTACATCTTCTTATAAAGTTAATGCATCGACGATAGCGAGATGCGCCTCGCACCTATGTCATCTATTTTTTTGTGCATGAATGACATCTTTGCTGATCTTTTTTATTTATTCCATAGGCTATATCGTAACACTTGTCATGAAAGTTTGAACATAGAATGGTCAAGTATTACTTTAGCTAACCGAGCATTTTGGAGCCTTCATAGACGTCGGTTCGGTTTCTCTTTTTACATGGGAGTTGTTAGTTTTCATAAACCCAGTAAATTTGCTTTCTCATTGCTGTGAAACGTCCTCTCGAAATTATACTTTTCGTGCCTCTGGGTAACTTTGACACATTGAACAATACTGAAGTAATTTTCTGCCATCCCTGTTTGTGTATACATCTTCCCAAATCCATGCGTAAGGTGCGGAGGTGGCCACGCTAGCAAAATCGCGCCGGTCTCACGCGAAGTTGGAATTGCGCTGTTGCTAATGTATTAGGATAAGAAAATTAGGTATTCCCGGAAGAAACCGTACCTATCTTTCGCAACGTACCCTTTACGCCTTCCGCACTTGTCAGATCGCGACCTCACGAAGGGATGCGTATGCAGGAAATGGGTGTAATCATAACACCAGTTGCGCCGCACGCATTGCACCCTCAAGAGATTCACCGCTCTCCCCACTAGGCGATTTCTCCCTTCTTCGACCTTCGTTCTTTCCCGTGCAATCCTCCTTTAAACTGGGATGTTCCAGAAGGTCATTGGGCAGTGGAATAAGTAAGTAGGGATCGAAATGGATCAACGACCAAAGCAGGCGATTATGCTTTAACGATCGTATTTAGAGAAGACCTTGCAAAGGAGTGCTGTAGCAAGACCAGCGCTGTGCGTTTGCTTCAGTCTTTGCCACTGATCGGGCACTAGGCTATTGGCTTGAAAGCATCGGCAAAGGTGATACAAGCAGCAAAGTTTCACCTCATCCTAAGCCCCAGTCACTTTCGATGAGAATCCATTGCGCTGTGGTGAATCGGAAGTTCCCCCGACGCTACCACCTGCGATTTGTAGTAGTGCGGTATCTCGGCCAAAGCCGATGCACTACGCGAGAGGCGGGCTGAATGATAAAGGGGGTGGTGGCAGAAGTTGAAATTTCGATGCGAACGGCATGCATCTCTGACCATGACGGGAAGCAGACCTGTCCATCTGCAGGAATTTTCATTCTGCGCAGGCATAACCTGGACTTTCCCTAGTCGGGACACCAGTGGAGATGAGTCATGAGTCCACTACGACAACAACACGCGGCACGCCTTATGGCTATCTCGCAGCCTGAACCCACACATCTCACCCAAAACCCCACCTCTTTCGTCAGACAATATTACCCCCCATTTGTAGGACTGGTCGGGTATCCTACTTTGAGAACCGCTTAATCTTGCATAGAGACAACCACTGCGAAAATAACCGCGGAATAACTCCCGAGGTTGGCCGCAGAGGTGGGAGAGAACTATTCGAAACGTCTCAAAATTTCCTTCCTCCGGATGAACGCCCGACCTTACATTGCGAAGATAACTCGCCACCTTCTGAAGGGAAACTGGCTGGAGTCGCGATACCACATCTATCGAATAGCCCTAATATTACTTCAACGCGCTATCCCCTCTCGAAGCCCTAAAGCAGTACTTTCGAAAGAAAGGGGTCACTGAATACAATCACCCAAAAAACGACCTCTCCGATCTCTTCGTCCCATAGCTCCACTCGTTTTGAGAAGAATGCATCCATTCGCTCCCTTGCAAAGGAGCGCATATCAGCGATTGCGATGTTGGTTATATTGTTGATCAGTTATCCTCCAGGGAAGAAAAAACTC